TAAATTAGTAAAGGAAATTGATTGTCTTAACCACTGAGATATTTCCCCAGCTACAGAGCATGTAGTTTTTGGTTTTACATTTGTTAAATCCACAGTAAAATGTTATAGAATTGCTTAAGTATGGCAAGAATGAAGAATACTGGAGTTCTTTAACCAATGATTAAAAAGTAAGATTGGTTCATAGTGCAGTGCAGTTTAATAATAAAATATGTTTTAAAATAGATAGAAAAGATGATATTGAATGTTCTCAATAGAAAGTAATGATAAATGTGTGAAGTGTTAGATATGCTAGTTATCCTGGATTATCATACATTATATTCATGTTTGAAATACCATGTCACACCTCATAAGTTTGTACAACTATTCTGTTCATTAAAATAAAATATTCTGAATTTAGATAATAGTAGTGATTTTACAAATGCAAATATATTTTATTATAATTAATTGAATAAAAATTTTGAATTTTTTGTTACATGTCTTTTTCTCACCAAAACTGCTAAACATATCTTGAAATTATCTAAAATAGAATTAATTTACCAATTCTAATATTCATTAAAATAAAGGCATTAATATTTTCATGGCATTATATGATTCAATTTTGATTTTAGCAACCATGTCTCACTTCAAAAATACTATTTTGTACCAACATTTTATTTTAATTTTAAGATATCTATTTGAGGTAATATATTTTTAAGCTGAATGGAAATAGAAGCTCAAAAGTCAATTTTGATTTAAAATGTCTAGTAGCATTTGAATTTTTTATTTCTCACAGTTGAAGGCTAGATAAAGCTGTTAATTCCCTTAATATTTTGTTAAACTACTTTTCTATTACAATAAATACTGGATAGTGCCTAATACCTCTGTTTTCAGTAACCTTTCTGATGCCAGTGTTATTCATTCAACTTAGCTGCCATTTTGTATAAAACCTTAGAATATTGAGGAAAGAATTGCCTGTATCAAAATGCTATCATATAAGCAGAGGGAATTTTTTAATATACCTAAGCCTGATGTAAACCATAGTGACATTTTGACAACAGCCTTTGACATAATAGACAATGCACAGTCATGAAATGAGCAATGAGAAAGGAGTTTTATTAAAGTTTTGATTTTACATATTCTAAACATTGTCCTCGGAAGCATTCCATCCTCTTCTTATTTAAAGCTATACTTGACCAGCACCAGTCCACGCCTGCTGGTATTTGACAAGTTAGTTTTTTACCAAAGCAATTCTAAAGTTGTGATGGACTGAAAAAAACAAACAAAGGAACAAACAAACAAAACATCAGTACCATTGTTTTCTGTAGGTATAAGTTGAGAGCCAGGGATAAAAATGAGCTCCTACACTTACAACAGAAAAACCTAGATAAATGCTCTAATTGCAGGGTAAGTCCAAGAAGGAACAAATACTTTCAGAAAGAAATGAGTTAATAATCAGGGTATATTCCTTTCAAATGCAAGTTGAAACTATATACCAGCAAGAAAGCAAGAAGGGCCTATAGACCACAGTTGGATTTTTGGTGAGGAAAAATGTAGAAATAAGTTTAAACATAGGCAATAGGAAAGATGCCCATAGAGTAAGATCCCATCTCTTAATGGATCCATTTTGCAAACACCCAAATTCATTTGAAGGGAGAAAGCCTGGACTGAGAATGCTTGTGATAGAATCCCCAGTTCAAATGAAACCACCTAGGAATATATTTCCTCAGGATCACCATTAAAGGTATACAGAAGCCTTGTGGCCCAGTGGGGAAGCAGGCTACACCTTCACTTGGCACAAAAATAAGCACTATGCTCTTTGTTGTACTGTCTTCATAGGTGTGAGTAAGCTAAGTTGGAAAGTGTCATTTAGTCTTGCTCCATGTTTTCAGAGAGCTACTGGGACTGGACAATGTGTGGCAGGGTTAGAGTACTTGCAAGGAGGCCTCAAGTAGTCACTGTATGGAACTCTACAGATGAAGCCAGGGTTATGATAGACCTGGTGATGCTAAGGATATAGGGTGTCTGCCAGGGAGAGGCACAGAAGCACTAAGTACTGCTGGTGGCAGAAATGGAGTGGTGAGACTCCCAAAGCCTGTTGGATCCCAGTACATTCTTACCACAAGCTCCAGATGTCCTACATAAAGCTGCAGGATTTCATCTTGCATTGCTGGGTTTCAGTCTTGGTTTGTTCTAATCATTCCTTGTTATGCCTCATTTCTTCTCTTTTAGAATGGGAAAGTTTATTCTATGCCATTGTCGATTAAGCATGTCTTTTTTGTTTGTATAGAAGGTCATATTTAAGAAATTGCCTCAGTCACAGAAGAAACTTGACCTTTGCACTTTGTGTGTAAATTATTGGGTCTTTTCAACTGGGTATTTTTAATAAATGGACTGAGTGCATTTTGCATTATGAGATAGTTATGAAACTATCTGGGTGAAAAAGTAGAAGATAATGGTTTAAAGGTCATATTCTTGGGTGTCAAGTTGACAAGTGCTAGAGATGATGTTTGTGATTGATTGTCAGATTGATGGAACCTGAAGTCACCTAGAAAAATAACTGCAGGCATTCCTTTGAAGAATTACCTAGATTAGATTAATTAAGGCCCTAAAAACACATCTGGTATCACCATTCCATGGGCTAGTATAGAAAGAAGAAAGCATGTTGAGAACTAGTAATCACTATTCTCTGCTTTCTGACTGGATGCAGTATGACAAGCCACCACCTTGTCATACTGCTATCATTCCCTTCTTGCCATGGTGTACTGCAACTCCTGGAATTACAAGGCAAAATTAACTTTGCCCTAAATTGTTTTTTCCAGGTATTTTGTTGCTACAACTTGTCAGGATTAGATTTCACTGAGGACTTTTGAGACATTTAATGATCTTGAAATAAAATGCCAAACACTGACAGATAAACTCAAGAGAAATTGATATCCGGTGAATGAAATTTATCTCCACTAAGTGAGCCATGGTTAGTGTTGATAGATAGCAGGTTGCCATTATCAGATCAAATATGTCACTGCTTTCAGTTCATAGAAAAAATAAAGGCAAATTACTTTTCTTGAACAGCCTGTGCTACAAATTAAGAGAAGTACTTTTATCAAGTACCATAAGCATACACAGAATGGTAACTATTTGCAGTTCCTAATATGTCAATTATCTTGATTTTAGGAGTCACTGCAGGAGGTACACATAAACCAAAATACCATATTTATTTAAGATGAATATAATTTTGTCACTTATTCTTCAAGGTGATGTGAAAAATATATTTGTTATCATTATTTGTTCTGCATTAGGTGATGATTTCTGTTTATCTGCAGTTCCTAGAATAATTTCACAGGGTACAATGCTATAGAAACCTTACTGAAATATTTAATACTGAATTTGTGGATGAAAAACTTCCAGCGGTTTCTGTAAAGTATATTGGATGTCTGTGGTCTAAGAGAAAATGAAGTGTTTTACTTTAAAGTGAAATCCAAGTTTGGTTTGTTGAATTAACAGGAACATGTCCTGAACATAGGCTTTGTCATTTCTTCTTCATGGAATGAGAGAAGGAATTAGAGGGCTATGATACGTTATCTTGTTTGATTTCAAATGAGAGGATATAAAAACTATGAAGAATCTGTGCCTTTTCAGAAACTTTAAAAATAAGGATATATTGTGTTTAACAATAGGAATAAATTCTGTCTAAGCTCTTTACAACCATGTTTTGGATAGCTTTTCAGCTACATACCTGGTACCCAGCTACTTTCCCTTCTTGTTCTAGTTTCAGTGTTATAACACTTTTGTAATTGAGAGGTTTTTTTGTTACTCTTCTTACTCATATTATTTTTCATAGTCCAGTTTTGATATATTCAAGCCATAAATCTCCATCTTCTAAATATCCCACATGCTGAACAAATTTTTCTACAAATAATCTGTTGTTATAGAATTTAAAGCAATAACATGTCTTTTGAGCCTCAGTATTTATGCATGTTGTTCATAGCTGGTCAAACATTTGAACATAATAATCAAAAATAATATGTATAATAGGGTATGGTAGCATAAGTCTGAAATCCCAGCATTTCAAAGATAGAAGATGTGGAATCAGACTTCAAGGTCATGTTCTTATATATAGATAGTTCAAGGACACCCGGGGCTCTCTGAGGATCCTTCATAAACGAAGGAAGGAACAAAGGAAGGGATGAAGGAAATGTGAATAATGCTAAAATACTAGATTTCTGTTGTATTAGTACATAAAATAGTGTTTTTCAGAGGGGCTCATGTAGAAATAAGAGACATTTTGCCAGGCAGTGGTGGTGAACACCTTGAATCCCAGCACTCAGGAGGCAGAGGCAGGTAGATCTCGGAGTTTGAGGCCAGCCTGGTCTATAGAGCAAGTGCCATGACAAGCTCTACAGCTACACAGAAAAACCCTGTCTCAAACAAAATAAAACAATAACAACAAAAAAAGAAATGAGACTTTTTATAGTTGCCTTTAAGCCATGGGGATATATTTCATAGTGCTTTAATTTCATTTCTGTTGTTCTGACAAAATAATTTAAAAGCAAACTAGAGGTAAAGAAAGTTTATTTTAGCTTATAATACTGGGTGACAGTCCATCACTGTGGGGAAGCCAATGCAGAAACTTCAAACAGATACATTACATGTGTATTGAAGAATTAGAGAAATGAGTGCAAAAATACTATGCTCACCTTTGCTACTCACACATTCCAGCACTCTGTCAAGAGAATAGTATCTGCAGTAGTTGGCCGGTGGTCCCCACTTCATATAATTCATGTAATTAAGACATTTCTAGGAGCACAAACATTCCTATAGCCAATCCACTGTAGACACTCTCTTATTGAGACTATTCCCAGGTGACTGTAGTTGTGTCATGTTGCCTAATGTAGCCATCATACCTAGTACTCATGAAAATCATATTGTTTTAAAAAGACATTGTTTTCTTTGTTCTTCAAAATGCTATATGTCATATCACAACAGAGTTAAAATGTTATTTATTTTTCCTTTTTTCCAAACAGATGGTGTTCCTTCTGAGAGATGGATAGTGAATTTTGAGGCAGATCTTTTTGATGGCCTTGTTTTTGCTACACAGCTGGCAGCATACTGCCCATTTTTGGTAAGTGTTATTTCCCTGTCCAATGGTAGTTTCCTGGTTGAGGAAAGCTTGTGATAAAGAGTTGAAGTTTATTTCCTGTAAACTGTTTTCTTCAATGTCTTCAATCTGACTGAAACACATGAATGGTACTACCTAGTATTGCCTTTTTTTTAGTCTTAAGTGCTGAGTGCAGTATTCTGTTTCAGATGCTAAGATCCAAATGAGCCTTTGTGGCACTACAAAGGAAACTTACATCCATCTGTTTTTATTCCATTAATTAAAGTTGTTTGCTTTAAATTCTAGATTGAGTCTCATTTTACAAGTATGTACACACGACCAAAACGTCCTGAACAGTATTTGCACAATAGCTTGATTATTATAAATAGTCTTCGTGAAATTGGCTTTGATTTGAACATACAGGTGAGTACTTTTGTATCACAGAAGCTTTTCAGAATTTATGAATTCTATTGATTCATTTACTCATTTATAATATCCTTTTGTTAAAGTTGTTTCTACATCAAAGTCATTTTATACCACATCTAATATTTCTCTTTTTTGAGGAGAAAGATATGAGAAACTGTAAGTATTACTTCAGGGAATTATTTTGCAATTGGTCAATTTTTAGTAAAAGCCATAATATAAGAGTGTTACCTACAGCTGAACTGAAAAAGGGGGAGCTCATGGGGGAGCTTGATGGCTGAGAGAGCAGCATGGGAATGATCCAGACCTCCTGAACTTGGGTGTCAGTAAGGAAATCTATGGGCCTTGGGTAGTAGATCAGTATTTATCCCTGTCTTTGGGGGCCCATTCCACATGTAGGGATGCTCTCTCAGCCTGGACACTTGAGGGAGGGCCTAGGCCCTGTCTGGGATGATATGATAGACTTTGGAGATCCCCCTTAGAGGGCCTCACCCTCCCTGGGGAGCAGAGGGTATGTGGGGTGAAGGATTTGGGGGATTGGTGGGGGACGGGGGAGGAGGGGAGGGAGAAGGAGCTGGGATTGACATGTGAAGCAAGCTTGTTACAAATTGAAATAAAAATAAATTAAAAATAAAAAAGAGTGTTACCTACACAATTTTTATAGTTCCACAAATTAGTAAACCTCTTATATGAATAACTCCACATAGATCATTTCAAAGGTACAAAGATGGTTAAAACATACTCATATTTTCAAAGGTGGTACCAATTCCTAATGGCAGAAGTACATACAAAGAAGCTTACAGATGACGGATAGTTGACTACCACAGGAAACAGAAATTAGAATCATATTTCAAGAGAGAAGATATTCTTATAATGAACATAGGAAAAGTTATATGACATTCTTGGTACTTAAACTAGTTATTGAAAATGTGGTTGGGATTCACAAGAAATGTCTGCCCTTGGAGAATTTAGTTGATTGTCCACTGTAATTTGTTTCTGTTTAAAATGCCATCAGGTATGTGTACTCAAAATGTTTATTTCATTGTATAGACAAAAATACTATAGATAATTAAATATTGACTAGACAAAAATATGGAGTAATTTTCAACAATTTGGTTAAACAGATAGCATCTCTTTTATCCAGCTATTTTCAGTGAATAACTTTGTATAAGCACTGATTTATCCAGTTAAAGGCAGGTTTTCAAAATGTCACTGTCCAAGTTAACAAACCAGTAATGAATCAGTGTTGGTGCTTGTGATTTGAATACAAATGGCCTGCATAGACTCATGTGTTTGAATGCTTAGTCCATAGGAAGTGGCATTATTAGGTGGTGAGACTTTGTTGAAGTAGGTCTGGCCTTGTGGGGGAGGGCTTTGAGGTCTCAGATAATTAAGCTGTACCTAGTGTGGTAAACAGTTCATTTCTTGCTGCCTGAGGATCAAGATGTAGAACTCTCAACTCCTTCTCCAGCAGCATATCTATCTGCATGCCTCCCGCCATGAAGATAATGGACTGAACCTCTGAACTATAAGCTAGCACCAATTAACACCAATTAATATTTTTAGTTTATAAGAGTTGCTGTGGCTGGAGAGATGGTTCACCATTTTAGGTGCTCTTCCAGAGGTCCTGAGTTCAATTCCCAGGAACTACATAGTGACTCACAACCATCTGTAATATGATCTGGGTCCCTCTTGTGGCCTATATTCATAATGCAGGCAGAACACTGTATACATAATAAACAAATCTTTGTTGGACATTGTGGTGCAATCCTTTAATCCTAGCACTGGGGAGGCAGAGGTAGGTAGATCTCTGTGAGTTTGAGGCCAGCTTTGTCTACAAAGTGGCAGTTACATCTGTTACACAGAGAAACCCTGTCTCAAAAAAAAAAAAAAAAAAGAATGTCTGTGGTCATTGTATCACTTCACAGCAATAGAAACCCTAACTAAGAATCTGGTACCAGGAACTTGGGTATTGTGTGATAAGCTCTATCATGTTTTTGTTTGGAGGGATGTGGAATTTGGGACTATAGATTAGAAAAGCAGTTGAACACTTTAAGTGGAATTTAATGGACCATCCGAGTAGAAACATGGAAGACAGTGATGCTGACGGTGATTCAAGCTGTGGGGGCCTGGCTCAAGAGGATTTAGAGGAGAAGACTGTTAGCGTGTGGTATAGAGACTGGTCTTGTGATATTTTGGTGAACTATGTGTTGTCTTTTTGCCCTTGTGCAAAAATTTTGCCTGAGACTGAAGTAAAGAATTTTGGATTAATTCCATTGGCAACGGGAATCATAAAACAGCCTAGTATTGACTGTTTCCTATAGTTATTAGTGTGAACTCTAGTGAAGATGTATAATGAAAAGGTGCAAGCTGAGCAAGGAAAAATACAAAATGTATAGACTGAGGAGAAAAGGGGCACCAGGAAGTAGAATGAAGTTAAGTCATATGTTCAATGAGATAAACAGATTAAGAAATTGATTAAAGGGAGTGGTGACCTCAGAGCAATACTCAAAGCAGCTCAGCTTCCATTTGTAAAAGTGAAAGGGAAGTAAAGAGCAACTTAGGTTTGGGTATGGTGGTGCAAGCCTTTAATCACAGCACTCTGCTTGCAGAGGCAGGTGGATCTCTGAGTTTGACCCAGCCTGGTCTATAGATCCAGTTTCAGGACAGCCAAACTTAAGACAGTGAAGGAAACCATCAAAAACAGAAAGCTGGTGAAGATGTAATTGAGCAAGCAGGCTTTGTTCCAGCCCCAGCAAGCAACAGAACTTGGCCACATAGTATTGTCTTTATAGTCAAGGATAGAAGACAGGTATTATGGAATATTTCTCTATTGTTGGACCCCCGAAAACTCAAGT